ATGCATTGTGCGAAAAATGAATTCTACTTATTAAATTCGCATGATTTGAGAGAATAAAACACACTAAAAATTAATAGATTTTTTTTAGAATTTAAAATTTTGAAAATTTAACGGAGTTTTTAAGTTAACTCAGATGAACAAAAAGATTAATTAAGATTGTTTCTCGCACCTTTGATGATACTGCAATCGACCGATCTGTTTGATGATACTGTTTCTGATAAAATTCCTTCTTGTAATAAAATCGATCGAATATTGCGAAAAAAATAATCAAAGTTAAAAAAATCAAAGCATTTTCATCATTTCTTGCACTGTTTCAGCAAATTTAATAAAAAAACACGAAATCAAAGTTATTTAGTCAGTAATAAATAAGCATTTATTCAAACCCTATGAATAATCAATCAATATTTTTTTATAACGGTTAGGAGTGTAATTGATAATTAAGACTGTTCAATTGACCGACTGAATGAAAACTGAAAATATTATCACTAAATGTATAGTGAAATCCATACAACATGTGACTGTTTGTATGTGTTATATGTGCAACTCTGCACACACCTACATAATACAATATTATGTGCATTCTATATATATAAACCATTTGTTTCGATTTTATCATATATTTTTTCTAGCAATATTTATTGCATTGTTGCTTTGGTTATAATAATCGTGTTTTGAATGCTTCAGTAGCGAAATGGATTTTTTTCGATAGTCTTATTTTGTATAAAAAGTTTTATTATAGCAAAATGTGTGGTGTGTTTAAATACTATTGTTTCGAAAGTTGGGAGAAAGACAAGACGACAATAGAATTGAAATGAAAACAATTACGATTAAAATTCTGATTCCGTTCTCCGCTTTTTATTCATAGTTTTGAAAACTATTCAGATTGAAAGTTTCGTTTTCAATTCAGTTGGATCGTGAAGCAAATATAAAAAAAGTTAGAGAGACAAGTTCAGTTTACAGATATTGTAATTAAAACGATAACTAAATTTGATTGATTATCATAATTCGAAATTTTTAGACGACAATATTTATAATTTATTATCAATATTGGGGTAGCATTCGTGTGTAGTTTCAGTCAATTTTACCGTCAAAATGGAAAGGAAAAAAAGAAAAAAACAATTCAGTTAGATTGAATGCAAAACTTAACTATCAATTCAATAAAGTACTCACCTACGGGTTCTTTTATATTCCGCACAGCCCTAAATAGGGACCCGTACTGCGGTCAAGGGTACAATACAAATCCTTGGATTTAAACTATTCACGCCTAGTAACTAACAAAATTGTTAATATATTCTTCTTAAGATTATTGTTGATTTTATGCTGCTATCAGTTGACATTTTTCGCATGGTGTGGATTGTCAGGTCTCTTCAACGAATCGGGCAATGGTATGCCAAAAAGACGACACATTCCTATAAAATCAGAAACAAATACAAAACTTTAATCAATTAATATGAACACTGAACACCTAACGCTCTGCTCTTTATTCTCAATTTAATATTAATACAATATACAATTATGCACATACCTTTGAATAAAATATTCTTTGCGGCAACAATGTCACGGTGCCAAATGACTACGTGCTCAATCATGTCTTCTGGTGCAGCATCACCCAATTCATGGTATTCTCGAGTTAATGACCAAGTTTTGAAGATAACTTTTATCTTTGGCACTAAACGCTCGATGTTCTCACGATCTGGATTGATTGCTCTCTCTACAATTCGCTCTTTCTTAAGCTCTTGTCTGCTCAAATTCGTCACAATTATCGGTGGTAGTCCAACAATCGGTTTTGGTATGCAATTTCGACAAATTTTGAATCGATGATTTTTGGTTTCTCTTGGAAATCGCTCGTGACAATTGGCACACGTTATTGATGTACCCCATTCATCTTGAAGACTGACCTTTGTGTGCTCTTGTTTCTTGAAACTGATTGCCAATTTACGCGTTCCCGGGCATCTTTTCCGCTTCTTTATGCCCCATGGCCGATTTGGTGCCATTTCTCCAGCACCAATCCAAATCCAAGACGGTTTGTTGTTCGTTACCCGCATGGCAACTTTATCACTTGTTTTGGTAGCCTTGATGTGATGATCGAGATCCATTCGTGCATATTTTCGAGTCGCATATGCTTGCATTCCCATTCGTAGCATTTTGATGCGATGCTGAATGTACGATTTCCACGTTGATCCAAGCGGTGATGGTATGACTGGGTACGACTTGAAATCCATTTGTTTCGATTTGAATTTGGTGTGCACACAATCAAGAACATTCGGGCATACACAGTATGACTTATTAAAGAAGTATTGAAAGAGAGTGATAGAGCTATATACATTGTGGCTTACTGTTTAACAAAAGCGGATTTTTACAAAGATGTATGCAGTCCAGCCGAAATGTAAAACTTCACAGAGTGTTTACTCAGTGAAAAATACAAATACACCATACATTCGATAAAGCGAAAATCGCCATGTATTAAAAATAAACAATAATTTGGTTTCGAATTACACAATGCTGACGTTTCTTCTCTTCTAATACACTTCTGTATTATTCTGATCCATGTTGATTTTTTGCTTTCAGAAAATATCATTGACTGGATGTAAATAAAATACATGCATATAATCAACTTTCCATTGACACGAAAATGACCACCAAAATGGGTCAAAGCGTTACATTTTTCAACGTTGAAAAAGGTGAAAAACGTTACAAATTGGTATATCGCGAAAGTTAAAGTTATTGAAAATATGATTTTTTTTAATAATTTAAATTGGAAATTTTATTATTTTCAAACCATTCAACAGTTTTCAAATTACAAGCATGTTCAACAATAGTAAATAAAAACAATGATGGCACTCTAATCGTTTAAAAGAACTTGAAGACATTAAAAAGTTGGGTTATGAATATACAAAGTGACAACAGAGAAAATAGTCAAACAAACTTGACTACTTTAATTTTGAACATTCATTAAAATAAATTTATAAATGGATATTCAAGTTGGAGATATCGTTTTGCCAGGAGATGAAATATTACTGCCATTATTGGATCATCCAAAAAAGATGAAAGTCTTATTGGGTCCCGGACTTCGACAACAAGACGGTAAAGTGTTCGCCTGTAAAGCCGGTATTCTAAAACAAAAATCAGTCAACACTTTTTGGGTGGATGCGATACAGAAACGATATATTCCAAGCAAAGGTGAAACAGTAATCGGATTGGTTATTCAGAAAGCCGGCGATATATTTCGTGTTGAAATTGGTTCAAATGAATATGCTACTCTGTCATATTTGGCGTTCGAAGGTTTGTTTTTCTAATTTTCCAATGAATATTTTTCTAATTCCTAAATCTGTTTTGTTTGTTTTTGGTGTTTGAAGGTGCAACAAAAAAAAATCGGCCAGATGTGAATGTTGGTGACATAGTGTTTGCTAAACTACTAGTTGCGCACAAAGATTTCGAATCTGAACTTATTTGCGTCGATTCATTGGGGAAAAAACAGAAATTAGGTTTATTACGTGATGGATTTGTATTCAACTGCAGCATTAATTTGAGTAGACGTTTACGTAGCAATGAATGTCCGCTTTTGGAATCAATTCAAAAACATATCCAAATTCCAGTCGAAATAGTTGTTGGTTTGTATTATTATTTATTTCCGGAATTCATATACTCACATTCGCCAATTTTTATTTTTATTGTATACTTCAGGTATGAATGGCCGTATTTTCGTGAA